TAAAAAAAAAAAACCTCACCAACCATTGATATATTTCCATTTTGAATGCCGCAGCACTATGATGGTTTTTAAATGGTAATATAAATTTTGGAAATATTTTAAATGGTGTAACACAAGAGAAACAGAAACGTGAAATGTAGGCTAACAAATGAAAGCAAATGTGTCACATTGATCTTGTGAAATCAACTTTATTTTTTTTTCCATGGCATTTTGGATGCTCTTAGACTTTTGAACCCAACAGTAATACCTTTTGGAACGTCACCATCCCTCTTTTCCTTCCCTGGATCTTTTTAGAATCCACAAACAAGTCTTGCTCTGTCTTTTGTTTCCTTTCTAGGAGTCAGCACCTGTCGACAAACCCCCCCACCCTCCCCTCCTAATCTAAAATCTCACCCGACTGCATTTTTCAGAGTGTTTAGCCCACCTGAGCTGCAGTCATTCCACCATCTTGCCCATACATGCAGTTATGTTGTGAGATCCCAACCTTTATGCATTGGGATTTTTCTTTCCACAGATCTGTTTCTCCCATTTCTTTTTTGGCAGGCAGACAAAGACTGAAGAGAGCTTTGTACAGCACAATCCTGCCTGAGCATGCTAAAACCACAAATGCTTACATACATGACTGAAACACACTCCCTCTGGACACACAGTTAACCCCCATTTGCGTTAGAAGAAAACCATCATAGTGCAGCTTCTCTATAAGGATAGCCTTTAAACATAACTGTTTTTTTTTTTTTTTAAATAAACAAGGTAAAACAGGTAAAGTTAGTACAGGTGATTTGCTTCCCGTAAGAAAACAATTTAACAGCGCAATACTTTCTCAAAACTCTTACTCATATCTCTCATTTATTTTGCAACATTCTCTCTGATTGATTGCCTCTCACAGTACCTGCAAATTAACACTGTATTGAACTACTGTAAATATTTACTGTACTTACCCCCTATCATTATTGGATTGCCATCTATTTTATAACCACTTTTCCCAGGATGCCACACACGGTGTATATGCATCCATTCTCTACAGGCCAGTGAGAAAATTTTCTCACAATCATTCAAGTGTTGAAATTTCCAGTTTGGTTGAACAGGACATAATTGAGCTGTTTTATGGAAGGTTGTGTATATTTCTTAACACAGTAGAAGGCTAACAGTCAGACCAAGGTTATGCTTGGGCAATCTTTAGACAGCACGATTTCTCTGTTGCCTCGTGGCGCATCACGTGGGAAGCAGCGACCTCTTGTGGTAGAAATACAACAATAATAAAATTAGCAACAATTCCGGAATTTTGTCACCATGGGAACCAGGGAAACGACACTGAATTACTAATCCAGATGTATAAACACAATACTATTTCAGTTTTTGCTTTTTTATGCTCCTTTGGAGACACTAACTAGTGTGTCTAATGCAGAAAAGAAGAAACGCCCACATAATACATAGCTAACACAGCCTTTGCAAATTAAGCATTGTTTCAACAAATAGTCAAATATTTGCAGTTTGATGGGTGTTTTCCATAGTTGTATAGGTGTAAATAGCGCCTGTTGTTTTGAATGGCACTGACCATTTACGACGTGTTGTTGTTTATGAATACTTTTGCTCATTCATTAATGGAGCTTTGTGAAGGCGGATAAGCTTCCTTTGTTAATGTAATGGCTCAGAATTAGGGTCAACACCAGAAGTGACAATTCATGTCATGCATACTGTGCACTGTATGGAGAGACTTGAGCAACTGGTTCCAGATAGAGGATAACAATATTTTCTCAAGGGAAAGGGACACTTTTTTTTCCTGTAAAACAACCCTTTGTGAATCCACAAACAAGGGGAAGATGATGAAGTGTATTAATTGAGCATTACTGTATAGCATTACAGTTTGTGCTCATTTTGTGTTTTAGAAAATAATACAAACACAATGCACATACCAAATGTTCTACAAGCACAATGAGCTTCAATGATATTAAAATAGTAAAAGATATAGACAACCATTCAAAAGTTTGGGGTCATTAACATAATACAATAATAGAAACTATAATAGAAACTAACACAATTTAATGCATCCTAGTTATTCAGCAACGATGCATTAAACTGATCAAAAAGATTTATATTTCAAATAAATGCTGTTCTTCTTTTTAAGTATTAAAAGAAACGACGAAGAATCGAAAACAGCGTTTAAAAGAAAAGATGCGTATTAAATGGTTTAATGGTAAGATTTTCCCTCTATACATTTTCCATAGTTTGGATTAGGCCATAATTTGTGAAAAAAAAAAAAAAAAACTAACTTTCCTTTAGACTTTGAGCTTGATCAGATGGGAGGGCGAAAGACTGCAGTTATCCTGTAAAGCTCTGGTGCAAAATAGCTCTCGTAAAGTCACATCTCAGATTGCATTGTGCGCCTGAAGGTGTGTGGTGCTGTCCGCACCTCCATTTTGTGCTAATGGGTGTAACTGATTCACCACTCAAGTAAAGCATGTAAACAATGGTTTGTTTATTGAAAGAGTCAGTCTGTCTATGCGAGGTCCTATTTCATTATCAATCAGACATGATCATATAAAACAAAGGTTACGATTAAGAACCTGGAAGAGCGACAAAATGTATGAATACGAAATGGTGGAAATTTAAAATGGAGTACACACACCTTTTAGAATCACATGAATACAATGGCAGTGAATGTGTTTTTAATGTATTGTGTTGCAATGGGTGGAGACTGTAAACATTATGTTTCTCCATTTGAATGTCAGTCTACAAACTGACTGCATTTCAGTAACTTTTGAGTCAATCCAATTATTTACACAAATTAATGTTTTCGCTGGAAGTGATATTGCATGTTTGTCGCAAACGCTTTATTCAACAGTCTAAAAATAATGTTTGTGAATACTATCACTGTAAAAGATTATATGGCATGTTTTTACATTGCTTTAAACAAAATAGGTTAAGCAATTTCAACAGTTTTATGTTATAAAAGATCCAACTAATTCAAATTGAAATGACTTAAACATTCAAGTTGATTGTACTTAAAAATGTAGTTGGAATGATGTAAACTTTTATTTTTATTTTTACAGATAACAGATATCAACTTTGATTTATGTTTTCATAAATTTAAGCTCTGACATGCACCTAATTTCATTATCAGTTGGCCAAAATTAGAAAAAAAATTATATATTTTATGATTATATAAAATTATATATAAATAATATATAAACATTATATATAAAAAATTATATAAAACTCTAATATATATATATATATATATATCAATTAGAGTTTTGCTCTTTCAATGTCAATGTTTAGTTCTTTGTTCACTTAATTTCATTTCTGGTGCATGTTTCTACAAAATAGTTTGTTAAATAAATGTTCTTTCTGGTTAATGACCAGAAAAGAAATCATTTTTTTTGTAACTTTTTTACTTTTAAGTCACAATGAAACAACAGATCTTTTCTCACTTATGTTAACTTTCATCCAAGTGTAATGTATAATCACGAAAAAAAAAAAATGTAGGGTGGGGAATTGGTTCTCTCCAACAGTTAATGATTGGCTGAAGGAAGATCTAAATGCGAGCTGGCAATTGTAAGAAAGTTTATGCAGACCGTGAATGGAGAATTCGACATACGCCTCCAAAAATCAAGTTCTGACATTTTGATTAAAAATTACGAGGTCAAAAAGTAATAAACAAAAAAATGAAACAATAAGATGTAAAACATGCCAGTATGTGTTGTTAATATATTGTGTTGCAAAAAACATTTCTCCATTTGAAAGTCAGTCTATTTGTCACACAGACAAAACAGATTACAATTTAATTTCATTCCCACTTTAAAGTATGTGACTATACAGAAATTGACTTTCAAAATGAAAAAAGTGTGACAACTATCTCCTATCTCTCTTAACGGCAACATTATAGATTCACTGTCCATGGTACTGAAATCAGATACAGGAAGGAGGATTTCCTCAAGAACTGTCCAGAGTACTGAAAACCCATCCTTGCTTTTCAAAGATGAAAATTGCATTTTGAAAGTCTCCAATTAAATAAATAAAAATAATCATCATAATATGCAAAACTATACAATTATAATATCAAATTGGCATCAGGATCAGAAATTAACCAGGGTTAAGAACAAAAATGCAACAGAAAGTGACAAAAATACCTAAAATCAAATGTTTACAGAGTAGAGACAAACCTGAATTCTTCAGTTTTTATAACCTTTTATGTCTTCTATTTCAAGTGTCCCTTAAAATCAATTTTAAGATGCAAAAATGCCCTTCATTTAAAAAAAAAGATCATTTCTGACACTCCACCATCATTCTACAACAACATTATTAGCAAGTTAATTTTTGTAATATATTCAAGACAAACCCCATAATTAATAGTCAATTGTCTGAGGTTGTTCTTACTTGCAGCACCCTATAATGTACAAGGACAGTCCTGAGGGACAACATGGTTTAGGTGTGTTGCTCAAGGGCACCATGGTGACAGTTCACCTGCAGAGTTTGAGCCTACATCCTTTTTGTTACAAGCTGTTTAATCGCTTGGCAGCATCACTCACTGCCAATGATGTCCAATGGATGTCTCTCTCTTCTTTAAAATGAACACAAGCACATGCCAAACTCGTCTTTCCTTCCCATTCATCATACGCATCTAAACAATTACATCCCGGACCTGTCCCGTGCGTAAAGTACGTGCGCAACGGGAGAAACCGGTGATGGGTCTGAAAAAACGACGAGGGGAAAACACTGGGCGGATTACAAGGATTGGATGGCACGAGTGATGCAATCCCTGCATCCTCCGAAGCCCCAACCGGTTCACAGAGAATCTGGCCGGAGATTTTGCCTCACCGATTTTCATATATGACAATTACTACCTTCACCGAGCGAGCACACTTTGAACAAGTGCCTCTTCGTTAGGATTGTTTTTTCTCCACGCCCGTGGATTAGGATCCAAACATCATCAACATAAATGGAAGGAGCTTGATATCGTAATGCCAAGTGTTGAACAAGCTTCTCAGTGATGTAAGTCAACCAAACACAATGATTACGACCATTTATTTATGCATATTTAATAGTGAACTCAAAGCGTTGATTTGATATCTTTCATTTGTTGCAGTGCTGCTCTGCATGCGTGAAGCACGACCTTTGCTTTTTGAGGTGCAGCCAGAAGAATTGCGTATCGACTCGTTTTTGCGTCTCGTTTTAAACTGAAACACTCGTTTGCATCCTAGATATCCGATAGTTAATCGGTTTTCCATTCGTCTTGGATTTTTTTTTTATTGCCGTGCAGAACCTACAGGGAGGTAATTTACCGCCGGATACCTTTCCATATTCAACATGAATTACCTGCGACGTCGACTCTCGGACAGTAATTTCATGTCAAACTTGCCTAATGGCTACATGGGCGATCTACAGCGGCCAGATCCGCCGCAGCAGAGCCCAGCCCCGGAGGTCTCGCCAGTCTCTCAAGAGAGGCGTCAATCCACCAGCCAGTCTACGGGCGCCGGCTTCTTTTCCTCCATTTCCAACGCCGTCAAACAGACCACCGCAGCCGCGGCCGCCACCTTTAACGAGGCCACCGAGAGAGGAATCGGCTCGAGCAACGCCAAGATCCTCCTGGTCATTGATGACCAGCAGACAGACTGGTAAGATCCTAAGGAAATCACAGCGTTTTGAATACGACGTAATGGCGTGGAGTTTCTGAACAGATTATTTGAGAGTATCTGAGGTGATTGTTTCATACTCGCACACCTGGGGTGTAGCTCTTGCTAATACAGGCCAAAAGGAGTCACTATCCAAACGTCGTGACTCATTAGTCTATGGGCCTTTCTGGCACGCGCGACCGTATTGTTGTGGGTGTGCCCGCGCGTGCGTTTGTGCGCATTACACTATTCAGCCTGGGACAGCTAATGGAGAAGCAGTGAGATTACATTAGCTGTTGAGTCCAGATTCAAAGGTCCCGTGTTGTTGGGTTTCAGACTGGCTCTGCTTGTGAAAAAGTGATGTTGTCACAAGTCTTTGAAAATGACAAGGTGATTGAGGCACTTTTGGAGTAAAACCATTTGGAGAACTTCTAGGAACTCTTGTTGCCAGGGTGGATCAAATGTCTTATACTCAAGGAAGGAACTAAATATATTTTCAAGAAATATATATGTCAAGTGCCACCCTATCCTTTATAATGAGGTTAACGGATTGCCAGGCTTTAGGGTTCTTGTAAGAACTTATGGATTCCTCAGAGAACTGTGCTTTTCAAGGAAGGATGGAGGTTCTCGAGAGGTTTCTTCTAGTATGGCGATCCAAGGAATCTCACATGGTGATTGATGTGTCATTACAATTTTAATGTGTGTGATATTTCTCTCAGTTTTCCTCTGAGGGCTAGTGACACATTTACTAGAATAAAAAAACATCAAAAACTTAATTTCATATGCTTTTTGGAAACAACATTTCCATCCATCATATATCTATTTATTTATTTAGTGACCAAAAACCAAAACTGCATGGAATATATGAACATAGGGTAATTAGTTTAGTTATTTGTTAACACTTTACAGCAAAGGTACATGAGTTATAATGAATAAATCATCAGGAACTAACACAAGTTCAACGTTTTTCATTCATGACTTCATTAATGAACAACACCTTAATTAAAACATTAACTAAGATACACACATCACCATGAATTATGATTTATTATGGATGATCATGATGTTTTCTTATCCCACCATTAATATCACTATTTCAAAGGACCTAGTCACCACTTTAGTTGAGGGGCCACACACATGATGAAGTCATTGATAGATAATGCTTAGTTAATGATGACTTCTGTATTTGATTAACACAGAATTTGTGTGCCATGAGCTGTGATTGGTCTATTATGGTGTCTGTCCAATACAGTGGTCAAGCATTAATGTGTAAAGCACTAAAGTGGTGACTAGGTCACGGACCTAGACAAAGAACAAAAAGAAAACATCATGATCATGCGTAATAAATCATTATTCATGATGATGTGCTCATCTTAGTTAATGTTTTAATTAAGGTGTTGTTCATTCATGAAGTCATGAATGAAAAATATTGAACTTGTGTTAGTTCCTGATGATGATTCATGAGATATTAATGAATGCATAATTCATGCATTAATTTATACATGAATTCATGATAATTCATGTACCCTTACCGTAAAGTGTTACCAGTTATTTCATGTGATCAGCACTATACTTAAATTGTATGTCTCTGTGTATAAACATACAAGATTTACAGGACAATAATGTGTTTTTTTTAGGTTAAAAAAGTATAATAGTAGCATATAAATTTAGAAATATTATGACAGTTTGGGACGCAAAGCATAAAACAGTTTCAGACATTGAAACACAACTCCTCTCCCCCTTCTCAAAGAATTCATGCTTCATACATGTTTGCAATACATAATTTTCACACCATTTCACTGTTGCATAATCCAGTTTGGATACAGTTTAAGTGTTTTTGTTAACTATGACTCTCAAGAGTATATGTTCTTTCTTTTTTGATCATTCTTCCTACAGGGCAAAGGTGTTCAGAGGGAAGAAGGTTCATGGAGAATTTGACATTAAAGTAGAACAGGTAGGATGTTTTTTTTTTTTTTTATTCTTCCAAACTACCGGAGCAGTACAACTCAACAATGTGCTTGTGTAATGAATTAGATGTTGCCAAAACACATTAACTGGCTAAAGATTGTTGTCATCAATCTGGGAGGAAATTTCATTACAGGGCCCTTTGTCATTTTTTCAGTGTCATTTGTTTGTGTTTTTGAAATGGGAAATTCATCAAAACTGTCCCTAGTAATGAAATGCAAGATATAGTCTATTCTTGAGGAGGATAAAAGAAAATTAATCTGTTCTGTCAATGAATAATATCCTTTTAAATAAGATCTTGGTAGCAGCTTTACAATAAACAAAAAGTAAACATTTTATTGAACAACTGCTTGCATTATGATATGGAGTTTTGTTTGTAATACTGTTATTACATTTATGTTATTAACACTATTATTTATGTAAGACTTAGACAACATACTGGAATACCAGACAGAAATACAAAACGATTCGACACAATCTTTTTTTAACAATTACATATTTAAGTTTTAAGTTCGTATTTTAATGATGTCAGTAAGAAATCTTGTGTTACAAGAAAATATGCATAGTCTCTAAAAAGCCCTTTTTGTTGTTTTATAATAACCACAATGGTAACCCATCACAGGCCTCAGGTGCTGTTTTAGTGTATATGCTTTGACAACAGCACTTTATTGATCACATTGATCCATTTGGTGATTTCCATTGATTTTCAAGGCTGAATTCTCAGAGGTCAATCTGGTGGCTCACGCAACGGGAAGCTATAGTGTGGACATTGAGGCCATTCGCAATGGCAACAAAATCACAAAGTAGGTTTCAGATTTGTTTAAAGCTCTTCCAGAAAGTTTTCTTTATTGCACTGATAAACCATGTAATTAAGTGGGTTTTACTTTGTCTAATTCAGTTTGCATTCAAATATAGATATATAAAAAATGTATGGAGAACAATTAATGTATGTTATGAATTTTTAGAGCAGCAGTCAAGATGATTAGTCGAAGAAACTACATTTACTGTGCATTCTATATATAGACTCTATACAGATAGATAGATGATTAATTACCAACATTTCCGTGGTCATTTAGGTGTTTCAAGCCAGATTTTGTGATGGTGCGACAGCATGCTTTCAGCATGGCCAAGAATGGCGACCACAGGAATATTGTGATTGGACTTCAGTATGCTGGTCTGCCCAGTGTCAATTCCCTTCACTCTGTCTACAACTTCTGTGACAAACCATGGGTGGTGAGCACTACACACATCAATCCATACTACTCAGCAAATTAAGGATGTTCTTATAAATCCAAAAATAGGAAATATTCATGTATTTGAACATACCATTCATAAGAAAATTAAACTTGCAGCCGTGGAAAAATTATTAAAATAAATAAAATCTTTAAAGTCCAGGAGTTGACGCTCTGCACTAAAAAGTTAATTGGCTTTATACTGCTTTTGTATTGTCAGAAATATATAAATCGTTTCTTTTTTTAAATTTGATATTTATTATGAATTGGGTCAAGCTGGTTCACAAATCAGATTGAATAATTCATATTGCAAATTGGCCTGAATCAGATTGATTTTTAAGAAAGTTAATTTGACAACTAAAAGGTCAAGCAAAAATCCTCACAGTTTTACTAATGAATGACATTAATTATTGCTGCATAATATTTGTCTCTATGTGTATGCATGTATGTTTGTGTGCGGGTCGCCATGCATCTATCAGTTCGCTCAGTTGTCCAGATTGTACAAGCAGTTGGGTCCAGAGGAGTTCCCACTGATTGACCAGGTTTATTACCCCAACCACAAGGAGATGGTGAGTGTTTAACCATCTGTCTCTGTCCCTTCTCAACAGTAAACCCTGATCTATAGGGCTCTAGACGTCCCACTGGAGCCAGTACAAAGCTCCCATCTGTGTCAGTGTCAGCGGTGTCTGGATGCAGTAAATAGTAAAATATACAGGGCTCATGCATATTCAGTGCCCTACTTCAGCATTGCTCCACCCAACTTGGCTCTGTCTAGACTGGAAATTTGATAAATCTCAGACTAGTATAATTGTGTTCTTATAGACATAGTTCAGGGTTTAAAAGGAGAGGGAGGCTTGCTGCAGTGCCACCACCTCCTCCTATTCCTGCACTGCAGGCATCTTTACACAAAAATGATCCCAGACACACACTGTGCCAGAATGTTTTCCTCTCTCGCTGGTCTTTATCTAAGATAATGCAGACTTAGACATCATTTTGTGGGCTTATTTTGTGCCTGAGCAGGAAGATGCTCTTACATTTCTCCAACTGCAGCAATAGATGCCTATCAAGCAGCACTACGACTGCAAATACAACATGTACATGAACAAGTAAACCAACTTGATTTTGGTGTCGTTTTCTCCTAAAGTATTCAGTTGGATAATAAAAATATCAGCCCGGTATTGTTTATTAACATTTGCAATAAGAACATGGTTGAGTAATGGTATGGGTAGGATTCGATAAATTCTTATGGTCACCATTATGTGTTATATATACACTACATTATTATATATGTATATATGTAAGGCATTTTGATCAATTTAATGCATTCTTGAAGAATAAAAGTATTGTTTCTTAAAAAATATCTTGTTGTCTTAAATCATCTCTTGTCATTAGATCACTACACCTGGCTTTCCTGTGGTAGTGAAGATGGGTCATGCTCACTCTGGTATGGGAAAGGTATGACCGAAATGCTTTTTTAGAATATATGATACAAATTGAATTAATTCATTCATTACATTGTATTTATACTACTTGTATCTATATTATTGTATGGCCCGTTTGGTCTTTTTATGGTTATAGCAGTATCAGTGCAATTTAAATTCTCTGTCCAGGTCAAAGTGGACAATCAATATGATTTTCAAGACATTGCTAGTGTTGTGGCTTTGACAAAGACATATGCCACTTCTGAACCTTTTATCGACGCCAAGTATGACATCCGAATCCAGAAAATCGGTGACAATTACAAGGCATACATGTAAGAGATTACAACTACATTATTGTTCTCAACGGCATGATATAATCTATGGTTTTAGTATTATCTTAGGAACTGATTTTGAAACAGTTTGCTGTTGTTTTATTGGACAGGAGGACATCTATATCTGGCAATTGGAAGACCAACACAGGATCAGCCATGTTAGAGCAGGTGGCCATGTCTGACAGGTACGCAAGGCTTAAAGGATGTTCTTTCTGCCATGATACAAGGCATATTATACAGAACCAAAATACATGACATCGATAACCTTATTAGATGTCTAAAAATGACATATTTTGCTTAATTTAACATGTTATTTATTATGCATATGCTAATAGCTGACTCACAGCATTATGAGACATTAAATGGTAAGATAGCATTTCATGGCAGCATTGCATTTTATTCAACATGGCGAATGGTGCAATAGATATGTTAAACATAAAATAATACACTCATGATTTAATTATCAATCAATTGTACGTTGGTGTCTCCTGTGCTTTTCACAGTAGTTGCTTTGTTAAACGTTAAATGTTCCAAATAAGCCACTACTGATTTTCCATTTTAGTTAGGATACAGTAAGCAGCTGTCTATGTATACAGCAAGACAACTCAATAAGATTTGCAAGAGGATTGTATTATTATTAGGCTAAATGATAAATAAACAAAGTAATAATGCAAAAATAAGAACAAAAAAAGCTCTTTGTTTGCTCCATGTATCACGGTTAGGTTCTGTTATGTTAATTCTTATAATATGAGAAGAATATGTTAATAT